GCTTGCTTAGCTGATTAGAGTGGGACACTGTGAGCCTAGAATATTTCACCTTTTCACAATATTCTAATTTACTGAGATTGTGGATTTGGGGTTTTCATGAGCTGTAAGCCATAATCTTCGCACTTATGACAAATCACGGCTTGAACTATCTTGCTTTGCATGTAATGCGTCTATCTCGTATATTAGTTTCCCCTTTTACGTTGCATTACTGAAATAAATGAACTTTTGCAAGATGTTCTAATTTTTCATGTATCACCTGTATATATATTTAGGAATACAGATTTGTGTTCCTGACCCTATAGTGTTCTTTTACGGTGAAGCCTCTGTTGTAAAATGTAAAAGAAAGCTATCTTACTCTCCTACTATCCCATCCTTACTGCATACCAATCATGCACTGTAATTGCTGTTCCAATGAACATCTAATCGTACAGATGCATTATCTTAATACACTGCAATGGGGAGCGATTTGTTTATGAAATGTCTGTTCTGCAAAGATTGCAGGACCATTATAAGAAGATCCTATTGAGTAACAGCAGTTAAGTGTCCTTACTGACAAATGTAAACCGTGCCTTTTACAAAGTATTTTTGTCAGACTGCAGGGACAGTCTTTTTACACCAAAAAAACACTACATTAAACTGTGATGTGGTTCTGGTGTGAAAAATACCCATTTAAATCGGAAATGGATAAAACACTTAAAAACCAAGCTGATAACACCAAATATAATTTATAACTGTTATTGCTGATAATTTGTTAGTGAAAACCTGATAATTAATTTTAACTCTTCCATCTCCCCCCTACCCATTCATGCAAGATAGTAATAAAATAGGTGCTCATTATTTACAACTCTTATTAGAAAAATGTAAATATTGCATATTGTTAAGAAAAGGTACATTTTCCTTCATTATGTCTTTGCTAACTTTGGTTAGCATCCTAATGGGGAAACTTCTGCCCCATCACAATTCAGAGAGGAGATAAACAAATTAGGCATTTCGATCTAAGTCTTGTTTTTTAATTTTGCTTGTTTTAAAGTTTTGTGTAATGGTAAAATGAACCGCATATATCTTTATCTGGCATCAACCAAAAAGTGGCTGGAGAAAAGGCACCAAGGATTTGAAATATTGGATTATAGCATATGTACTTAGAAACTTTAACGCACAATTCAAAATATAATATATAAATATTTAACATTTTAAATTTAAAAGGACACTATAGACATCCGTACGCTTCAGCTCATTGAAGTTCTCTGGGTGCAATGTCCCTGTCCCCCTCTCCCTTAGTTTTTCAATGTTAAAGGTGCACTATAGGATCAGGAACACAAACATTTATTCTTGACCCTATAGGGTTAAAAACACCATCTAGCCACCCTAGGCCCATCATGCCTCACTAAATATAGTAAAATCTTACTTGTATTCAAGTCTGGCCGCTTCCTATGTCCCGGTTTCATTAAGACCTTCCTGCTGACAGCATAAGTGGTAGCCTGATCCAATCACAATGCTTCCCCATAGGATTGTCTGAGACTGACAAAGAGGCAGATCTGGGGCAGAGCCAGCACAATTCAAACACAGCCATGGCCAATCAGCATCTCCTCGCAGAGGTGAATTGAATCAATTCATCTCTATGCGGAAAGTTCAGTGTCTGCATGTTTGGATGCATTTTAGGCAGACGTGACTCAGGAAGGGTCTCTTAACTTCACTGGCCACTCCTTAGATGGCTGTTATCACTAGGCTGTAATTTAAACACTGCATTTTATCTGAAAAGACAGTGCTTACAACAAAAAGCCTTAATGGAATGATTCTACTCACCAGAACAAATTCAATAAGCTGTAGTTGTTCTGGTGACTATAGTTTCCCTTTAATCATTGTACTCACATGTACTTATCCAATTAAGTTTGTGAATGAATTTTATCTATGTGTGTGAAACCTATTCCTAGATCCGAGCTGCTCAACATTGTCCTTACCTCAGGGTTTTGTGTTTGACCTATAGCTGGTGTGAAAGCCTCTACTCTATTAAATTGTCCGTTAATCTTTACCAGTTCAGAGTTAAATGGACACTATAGTCACCCAGACCACTTCAGCTCGATGAAGTGGTCTGGGTGCCAGGTCCCTCCGGTTTTAACCCTTCAGATGCAAACATGTTTGCATTTGGGGTTAAGCCAGCCTCTAGTGGCTGTCTTCCGGACAGCCACTAGAGGCGCATCTGCAACGCTGGAGGCATATTATGCCTCAATCGCGCAGAGCGTCCATAGGAAAGTCGGGGGGAGAGTTCACCAGCGCAGAGGGAGCCCGGCGCTGGAATAAGGTAAGCTGCTGAAATGGTTTTCACCCCTTCAGCGACACGGGGGGTGGTGATCCTTTAAGAACGCTTTGCTGTTTGTATTATCAAATAGTACTGCGTGTTTGTGCAGTTTGTAAAGCCCTTCTCATTGACTATTGTGTTGGTTTATCTTGTGGTTTTGATTGCAAACTCAAACCTTGATGATCGCAAAGGGAACACTCCAAAAGTAGTGTATAGAATCCAGGAGCTGACTTGTGATGGCTCAAATATGGTAGTGCAAAATTACTAAAGGTTAATAGTACACTGAAATAACAATAAAATAGTGTACTGTGCCTTTAAGGAATAAAATAAGTCAGAAATTAAAAAGCAGATGAAGATAAAGAGAAAAGGAGTAAAATAGCATAAAAGAGGAAAAAAGCGGTGTCGATGAATACAAATAGATAAATAAAAACAAATTCAAAAGTAAAAATTTTTACAAAATAGTAGATAATGATAAATCCGTATACAGCAAATATATGTGCAGTGCAAGTATCTCTATTCCTGATCCAATACAGCAGTGGTAGTCAACCTTTTTCTACCTACTCCCACTAATGCATCTTTCTTGATGGAAAAATTTCCTTACCGCCCACCAGTTTTCACGCAAGTGCAGAATATTTTTTTTTAGAAAGGAGGGTGTTTTACAAAAAATGTACGTACATTTATCTTTTTATTTCTATTTAATGCATGTTTAGAATGTTTTTAACTTTATAAAGTTTAATTGGAAAACAATAAAGTAAATTAAAATTACCTTTACTAGTGATTAATGAGATCCTTGAGCTGATGCTACAAGACTAAATATTTGATATCTGGTTCGATTTTCGTAAGGAACAAACAAAGGTCTCCTCTTTCGGTGATATTCAGACGACTTCTCTGTTTGCGCATAATATGATTTCTCATCTGTGTGTCAGCTCATCTCATCTCCCTCCTCAATTCCCCTCCCCACCTTTTTATCCCTTTTTTCTATTATTTAACCTTCCTTATAGCAATGACCAGTAGGAAAGCTTAGCTAGGTAGCCCACTTACTATAGCCCACTATAACAGACAGACACGCACACACACGCACACACAACACACAAAGACAAGACATACATACACACACAACACACAGACAAGACATACATACACACACAACACACAAAGACAAGACATACATATACACACACAACACACCAAGACAAGACATACATATACACACACAACACACCAAGACAAGACATACATATACACACACAACACACCAAGACATACATATATACACACACAACACACCAAGACATACATATACACACACAACACACCAAGACATACATATACACACACAACACACCAAGACAAGACATACATATACACACACAACACACCAAGACAAGACTTACATATACACACACAACACACCAAGACAAGACTTACATATACACACACAACACACCAAGACAAGACTTACATATACACACACAACACACCAAGACAAGACTTACATATACACACACAACACACCAAGACTTACATATACACACACAACACACCAAGACATACATATACACACACAACACACCAAGACATACATATACACACACTTATACAGATACACACACAAAATATTTTAGTCACCCTCCTGTTTCCTACCTTTTAGGTGCAGAAGGGTGACTTTCCCTGGGGTCTAGTGGTGGTTTAGGTGCATGGGAGTCAGAGTTCCTACTCTGACTCCCTGGTCTTCCTCCCGCGCGGTCTGTTTGTTTGCTGGGAGGAGTGACGCGCAGTCACTTCCTCCCAGCGTGTGATGCAGTAACAGCGCGACCGGGCCCCCTGTCAATCCACATCCATCGGGTGGCCCTGACAGCATGGGCCACACGATGGACCCCTTGGACGGCAGCCCCGGCAGTTTGCCACGTGGGCCGGGGCCGCAAATGGTGACGGCGGTACCCGGTCGCAGGTGTACCGCCGGCTCGCGCTCGCCCTCCCGCCGACCCAATCTCTGAAATCCATACCGCCCACCTGGAATCCTGAAACGCCCACTAGTTGGCGGTAGGGATCAGGTTGACGACCCATGCAAAACAGGGTAGGTGATGCTTGCGCCAAATAATATACTTTGTAGTTGACAAAGATAAAAAATATAATGTAGCAATGCAGTAAAGGGAACTGTATGCTAGGGCAATACAAACAATGTATCGCTATGAATTGAAAGCAATGGTGAGAACTGGATAAAAAAAAGTTTATTTAGACAAAATATTAAGTGATAAAAAATAGCGGCACAGTGTTAGTCAGACTCCCTCTCCTCTGTGTGTTACACTAGGTATACCAGAACTGTCTATCTTCAAACCTCGATGAATTCTGTGGCCATTTTGTCTCAAGCTGTCCGTGTGTCCTATGCAACTAATTTACTCAACATTTTTTAGTTCATTAGGAACAAACTGATGACTATTCTGTTGTCTTCCTAGATTTCTGCAGTTTGGTTGATAACTGAACATTTGATTTATTAGCTGAAACAGCTTGAGCTCTGTGACATTTAGATTTTTTTTTTTTCCTTTAATGAGACTAAATCCACAAATACAGTCTCTTCCAACTCCTCTGCAGCTTTGTGCAGGCATTCACAGTACAGAAGATTAAAATAAGAAGCTCATTGCAGTGTAATGTTGTAGCTTATGTGCCTCTGATTTATTATATAAACGTGCCTCTCTTCACAGGTTGCGCACAAGAACAGTGAATTTACTCGCCTTTTTCTGAGAGTTATGACCAGGAACTGAAGTTTCTGTCTTTCTGTTACCGTAAAGAAGAACAGATGATTCCCATATGCCCAGTAGTTTCCTTCACCTATGGTAAGTCTCTGGACATTTGTCAACTAAGCCTAATGGTAAAGATAAAACATTTTTAAAAATGTCTTACTTGGTTGTGTTGGGTATTGTATAAGATGCTGTTGTATACATTATTTAGATATGTTGTGCATAGCATTCTGGAACTGTGACCAAAGAAATATGTAAGGGGGTGCACAACTCTCTGAACATCACAGACTTAAAGTAAATCTACATTTAATGTGTTTCCTTGACATTTTGCTTGTAAAATATGTATAGGTTATTTTGTATAAATTGTCTTGGGCTCTGCTTTAAGTGGCTCTGTCACCGTCTGTGGTCTTTGCATTTTATTATAAGATCCCGGTGGTGACTGCTTTGTTTGTTGTCCGGGGGCTGAGTTGTACAGAGGAAGGTGAGTTTTACTTGCCTAGCTCTGTGCCTTACAGCTGTCGCAATGGTATTCCTGCCAGTTCTCTTCAGCTCCTTGCGCTTCATCTGCCAGGAGCTCACTAAAGTGTTATACTGTTTTGCATACATGAGAGTATGACACTGATGTCTATAGAGAAGACAGTGAGATCCTCCATGGATGGTGCCCTTTTCACTACAGCTGTCAGTAGTGACAGCTTGTCGAAATGACAAAACTTGATGGCAGTGTGTGCAAGGCAAGATGGATTCTTTGAAGTATCAGGAAATCCTAGAAGAAAACATCAGGCAGACTGTGAGGAAGCTAAAACTTGGGCATCATTGGACCTTTCAACAACACAGTGATCCCAAGCACACCTCATATTCCACCATGGCTTGGTTTTAGAAGAAGTCCTGCAAAATGCCTCAGTAACGCAGCCAGAAGCTGGTGTCTGGATATGCATCTTGTTTGCAGCCGGTCATAACAGCAAAATGGTGCTCTACGAAGTATTAAAGATGTTTTCCATGAAGGGGTTGAATAATTTTGAGACTAGAGAAGTCATTATAAGTTTCTTTTTCTGTGGAATTTGAGGAAACCAATTAAAGCATTTTCGTGTTGAACTATTTCAATTGCTTTTGATTTGTTCATTGCAAACAGATCAAAGTCTGCACATTTTGACAATAAGTTTGATTTTTTTAAAAAAAAATTTTTTTTAATGGGGGTTGAATAATTTTGATTACAACTGTATAAGGCGCTGTTGTCATGTGGTGCACTGTAAAGCAATGTATTTTGGAGAAGTTTGTACAATTGATAAACCTAATTGTTTTCTTTTTCAACATTTAACACACAGTGCCAAGCCGGCTTGGTGAAGAGGCCAAGATGGCTACTGGCAACTACTTTGGATTTGCCCATGGTGGAGCTGCTCAGTATAGGTAATGATGCCTTCTGTATGATTTTAAATCAATAATATTTTGCTGTACAAATACATTGCAAACAAGATCACTAGCCCAGTATTTTGTTGCTGAAGCAAGGGGAACATGTTTGCTAAAAAAAAAAAAAAAGTGATAATAGAAGTGTATGAACATAAATTTATATTCTTTGTGTTCAACTTCTATATCATTACACTTCTAAGTGGAGTTTCCACTTATTTTTCTGTATTTATATATTGAGTTGATAGTGCTTTAAATAGAAAAAAAAGTTTCTTCACAAAGTCCACATAATGGATCAATATCTCAGACTGTGAGGTCTGTTAAATAGACACCTTTGGTATAGGAAATCGCCACGATCTTCTAACCCGGGTCTTCACATGGATTTCTGTAGGGTAACTGTTCTCCGTTACATCACTGTACTTATGTGACAAACAATTTTGAGGATGTAAAATATTTTTGGAATTTTGGAAAGGACAAGTGATGCGTCTGACCAAAGAAGACTAAAAATGGTTGTCCCCACAGATAAAATTTAACCAGAAGATGCACATATTTAGCTATGTCCATTACAAAATAAGAGGCAGTAGTTGTGCTTTATGCAACCTTTTATTTTTAGTAATGCTAACATATAGTGTCTAATTTCCTTTAAAAATTGATTGTGCAAATTAGTTGGCCACCACCTTACATTCTCTTGCATGAGTGGATTTCAGTCACATACTTATGCTCTTGTACAACTTCTTTCCAGTAGAAAGCTTAGAGACCAATGTATTCCTGTAAACACTTGCATATTATGGTGTGCATGTAAAACATTTTTTTCTTTCCTCTTGCATAATGCTGCTTTCCTGTACCTTTCCTTTGAGGATTCCAGTTCTAACACTTGATTGCTAAGAGCCTTTTTTCAGGGATACTATAGACACCCAGACCCTCATCTCATTGAAGAGGTCATGTTACTATGCCCCTGTCCCCCTTCAGCAATGTAAAATAAATTGCAGTATTTAAGAAACTGCATTGTAGTACTAAAACTACCTCTTATGGCTATATCCCAGGTTGCCACTTGAGGCGCTCTTGGGGACTCATGGAGTTTTTCTTTACTCTGAATGAGGATGTCCAGTGTCGAAGATAACGTCATAGGAAAGCATTGAGGCAATACTTTCCTATGTGGAAGGCCTAATGTGTGCGGCATTCGCACCACATGTGCATTAGGTTTCCCTCATTGGATGACGTCTGACAAAGCAGAGTGTGAACTAGTGCCGAGGCACAGTGGCGCTCGATTAGAGTAATTTTTTTTTTATATATATATATTAATCCTTTATATGCTGCGAGGGAGTTTGGATCCAGAGTGCACTATAGTGTTATGAATAGTAGTTTGTATTCCTAACACTTTAGTTTTCCTTTAACATTGTTTACTATAAACATATTTTTCCTCAGAGCCACATTTATTCATACAAGCTTGTAATCTGATGTAATTTATGCAGGGATTTCCACATGCTGCCTAGTACATAAGTGCTCAGACTTAAATCCATTTTTGAATCTCTCAAACAATCAAGCACAGACTAGATCACACTGTTAGTTGTGGCTGCATAAGGGTTCATGTGTAGGGAGCATTTATCAACATGTGTGACACTTGCACTAAATTCCATAAATATGCAATTTGGTAGTCAAGTGCAATGGCCTAATGAAATCTGCTTACTTTTATGATCTGTTAAAATTTCCTCTATTGTTTTAAATATATTTCTATTCTAAATATTTCAAGGGGTTTCTTTTTGTTTGATATATATCTGTGATTAATTTTACCCAAAGCATTGCATAAAATGATAGAAAAGGCAATTTTGTTTTTATGTTGTGCAAGAAAATAAACATTTTCTATAAATATATGTATGAAGTCAGTCTCTCTATTGTCAAACAATTCCTGCAAAGAGGGCATGGCTTAACGTTCTTTAAGCTGGCAATTCAGTGGCAAAGAATCTTTGTCAAGGGGGCTCTGCTTCACTGTTACTTCAGTCAAATAAGTCCATGGTTTTTGTTTTTAAAAGATGTCTCCCATGGGTGCCTAGTATGTCTGTCTTTTTGTATAATTGTCTCCATGAAGTATTTATGGGATATTAATTCTCCTAACTTCAAACAAGTCTACCCAAGGTTGGCCAAATACCAGCAGGATTTTCACTAAACTGTAAAATGTTGAATAGTTTTCCCAGCTTGGCTGTTTTGGACTAATATTTGCTATATCATAGTGAACCCCAAGTCAGTTTCTAGCTCAACTAATTTGCCCTAAAATTTGCAATTCCTTAATTTATAACCATTCATTAAGGTTAAGTTACTCTACTAATACTACAAATCGCCACAGTTAATTCACTGTTGAAAAATTAGTACCTAACTAGTCTCCTTATTTGCTGGCTTGAAGCTATCATTTCAGATATGATCTTTGATCTTGCTGCTTGTCTATGACTTTCAACCTCATTTGTTCTAAATTATTTCATATTTGTAGCCAACAGCCAGCATCTGGGATGGCTTATTCACATCCAACTACAGTGGCAAGCTATACAGTCCACCAGGCTCCAGTAGCTGCTCACACGGTTACTGCAGCCTATGCTCCTGCAGCTGCCACTGTTGCCGTCGCTCGTCCTGCACCAGTTGCTGTTGCAGCTGCTGCTACAGCCGCTTATGGTGGATATCCAACTGCTCATTCTGCCACAGACTATGGATATACTCAGAGGCAGCAGGAAGCTCCACCTCCACCTCCACCAGTCACAACTCAAAATTATCAGGTAAGCTTTGGAATAAATTATATAATTCCACTTAATTATGTGCATCCCATTGGTACAGTCACAGATTGTACACAACATTTACTTAATAGTACACCCCAGTCTTCCAAGATACATATCAAAACTCCAGGCTATTATTTATATTATGTGTGTTCATTTTTTTTATTTCTTCTCCTGCCCTTCAGCATGCATGATTTTCTTTTTGCATCATCCGTATAGCTATATGTGGTGTCATTTAGTTGTATTATCATAAGTGTCTGTCTTGTGCAACTGTTGTGTACATGCTCATCTTCAAGCTTCATTCATTGGAAATACAATGAACCAACCCTCATTCTAGCGAACATAAACCACATGACATTAATTATGTTTCTAAGAAATTGGTGTGTGGAACTGCACTATGTTTCTGGCTGTTATGAATGAAAGTAATTGCACAATGCCTTGATAAAGTATTGCTTACTTACAGGAAATCTCCAAACCCATAAAGCACCTCAACTTGCTGAAGTCTGTCATATTTCTGACCATTTAGTTCTGATTTCAATGTAAATCTGCATTTTTTTCTTGAGAGGGTGTGGCTAGAGAGAGGCACTTCTGGTACATCATTCTGGAAACCAATGTTTTTTTTTTTTTTTTTGAAAGTATAAAGATTTAAAGGGACTCTCCAGTGCCAGGAAAGCAATCAGTTTTCCTGGCACTGCAGGTCCCCCTCTCCCTCTCACCTCCCAATCCCCGGTTGTTGAAGGGGTGAAGAACCCTTCAGTCACTTACCTGAGATCACCACCGATGTCCTTCGGCGGTGGTTTTGCTCGCCGCTGCTGCTCCTCTACATTACATCGGCTGGTGGGCGAGACTGACCCAGCCCGATGGCCAGGGAGACCTAATGCGCATGCGCGGCAGTGCCGCGCATGAGCATTACAGCTCCTGATATGGGGAATTAAGCGACGCTGGAGGTCCTCACGCAGACAGCCACTAGAGGTGGAGTTAACCCTGCAAGGTAATTATTGCAGTTTATTTAAAAACACAGCGTATTAAATTAACAATCCAGGTCTCCCCTCCCCATGTCCCCATTGGAAGTAGTCGAACAATAGTAGAATGGATTGACTTCTTACTTTGAGACTGCCGAAAGCTCTGTCTGAACTGTGCCGAATAGGGCTAAGCTCATTGGCTGAGAGTATTCTGCTGATGTTGTATCGCTTAGATTAGAAGAGCTAACAAAAAGCCGTGAAGGTGGGAAGCCAAAACCTATCAAATGCATTACATTTCAGTACATCTTCCATTTTTAGTTTGCAGTGAAGTAATCATGTTTTGCTAATATAAGCTAATTTAAGAATTCTGTCCAAAGTTGTTGATACTGTACTACACCCTTCTGTGCAAAGGATATAATTAGATACTCCATTTGCAGAATGTAGAAAGAACATGGCAGGTTTAAAGGACCACTATAGGCACCCAGACCACTTCAGCTCAATGAAGTGGTCTGGATGCCAAGTCCCTCTAGTTTTAACCCTGCAGCTGAAAACAGCAGTTTCAGAGAAACTGCTATGTTTCACTGAGGGATAATCCAGCCTCTAGTGGCTGTCTCACTGACAGCCACTAGAGGCGCTTCCGCGATTCTCACTGTGAAAATCACAGTGAGAAGATGCTGGACGTCCATAGGAAAGCATTGAGTAATGCTTTCCTATGGGCAGCTTGAATGAGCGCGTTGCTCTTGCCGTGCATGCGCATTCGGATCTGACGTCGGCAGGGGGTAGTGTTCCCCGGCGCTGGAGAAAGATAAGTGGCTGAAGGGTTTTACCCCTTCAGCCCAGCAGGAGGGGGACACTGAGGTTGGGTGGGACCTAATGACCCTATAGTGCCAGGAAAACGAGTTTGTTTTCCTGGCACTATAGTGGTCCTTTAATGTTAAAGGAACACTATATGCACCCAGGCAACTAAATCTCATTGAAGTGTTTCTTTACCCCTACGATGTCAAACCTTACAGTTTTCGCAAAGAGCTTAGACAGCCTCCAGTGGTTTGACTAGTTCCATCTAGTTTGACTCCGTGAAATGACTCTGGATGTCCTCATGTTGGGGGGGAAAAACCCCATAGGAAAACACCTCAGTCGGGGAAAGGCTTAGCATGCGTGCAGGGAATTAGGTTCCCACTTCGGTGGAGAAGTCCAACCTAGCACTGGAATCAGGATAGTGAAAGGGTGTTTTTTTTTGTTTTTTTTTCTTACATTGCTGGGCGAGGGCAGAGGGTTACTATAGTGTATAAATATGATGAGTTTGTTGGAACGAATTGAGTGAATTTGGTTTGCATCTAACCACTGTGTTTGTGTGAACCATTCTACTTCTGGTTGACTGAATATCTGTCTGAGCGTGCTGGTCAGCAATACATTAAGGAATCACCTGAGAAAAACGCCCAACACATTGTTACAGTAGTAATTTGGTATTGTAACTAATTAATCTCTCCTTGTGTTTGTCTAGGATTCATATTCTTATGTCCGCTCCACTGCTCCTGCTGTAGCTTACGACAGCAAGCAGTATTACCAGCAACCTGCTGCAGCAGCAGCTGCTGCTGTTGCCGCCCAGCAACAACCATCTGTGGCGGAATCCTACTATCAGACAGGTATGTAGCAATTTTTTCTTTATGTAAATTACTAAACTATTATAGGCATGTTTTAGTATGTTCTTATGAACTGCTCTGTTAACTACTTTAACTCATAGCTATTGCTTATCATGATACCTGATTATTTAACAGTTGTTTTCGAAATGTTTGTTATAAAAAGGCTTTTCACCAAAGCAGCTGTTGGCTGTGTATTTCTTTATGATCATCATGGGAAACCTGGTTACAATAGCATACTAAGTGTACCACTAAAGGGACACAAAAATGGAATTTCCTTCAAAGTAAAAAGAGCACAAAAATTATTTATAGATGAACGTTTATTCAGATTTCTACTAAACAAAAATAAATCATAATTAGGTGAGATAAAAAAACATTAAGTGGGGGGTGGACACACAAACTAATTAAGGGAATGCATTAATTAGAGTTTTTAGATCCGAAGTAGCAGAGAAATAAAGAAATACAGCTAATCGCATTAAATTAGCACTGTAGTGTCAGGAATACAAGCATGTGAATGTTACTTTGACACGTACCACCTGCCTCGAGAGTGTTGCAGACCACCTACATCTCTTCTTGGCAATGGTGTTGCCTGATGGCAATGTCCTCTTTCAGCAGGATAATGCATCCTGCCATACTGCAAAATTTGTTCATGAATGTTTTGAGGAACATGACAGAGTTCAAGGTGTAGCTTTGTCCTCCAAATTTCCCAGATCTCACAAAAAGATCAATGGGGGGGCCCCACCTCACAACCTGCAGAACTTACAGGATGTACTGCTTATATCTTGGTGACAGATACCACAGGGCATGCTCAGAGGTCTTGTGAAGTCCATGCCTCGACACATCAGAGCTGTTTGTCAGTAAGAATGGGAGCAACACTATATTAAGTGGCTGATCAGTGTGTGTGTACACACAGCTAAATATTTCCTCTATATATGGCGTGTGACAGTTTGCTATATAAGCTCAAAAGCTCTGGGGAAAACACTCTCAAGATGCTGATCATTGAGGCTGTCAATGCTGCAAACTGCTAAACATTCTAAGTGAAATGTAACTAAACACTGGACTTTGCCCATGTATCCGTAAATTGTTTTATCAATAATGCATGGTTTGGATTCCTATTACAAAGTATGAATTAAACATTATAATCAACAATATATTATCCTTGCCTTACTGGGGCTCCCCATTTGGCAAAAGGGGACAAGCCACCATTTGGAAATAAATCCCTTGCTCATACTCGTGTGCTTGTCTTGAAGTATTAAGTTTGAGAGTATGGATAATGTAATGTATGCTCAGTCACTTCAATTGAGTGATAGTGATTAATTGTAGAGTAGCTTCATCGGAACACTCATACAAGTCCATAGAGCAACAAGACTTCACTATGTTCAGTCAGTGGAGAAGTGTATGCACATCTAATGCACTTGCACATTTCGTCATAAACCTGCTTTCCGAAGGTGTAGTCACAATAGACAGGGTAGGGGATTTTGGGAAACATCCATATTATTTTAAATGTTTAATTTTATCTTAAGAGTAATACCATGTCATGCTTTCTGCCAAAAAAAAATAGTACAGTTAAAGCCTGGTTATAATCATCAATATTCCTGTAACCTTTCTGAAATTTATATATCTCACGTTTTGGAATGTTAAGTGTTCGTGTTAGCGTGAGGTTTATACAGATTTTCTTATAAATAACCATTTTCTTTTTTTTCAATAGTGTGGAGCTGCAGAATATGTGTAGAGCCTGTTAAGAATAGAAATTGAATAACCATTACCTAAAATTCTGTAACTAAATCCTGTTGTTTTCTACAACATATCTTTTTTTCCTCTTGTGTACCAGCTCCTTTCGCCTTGTCTCTTCCAGTTGCCCCCAAGGCTGGTTACAGCCAGGGAGCTGCACAGTACACACAGGCTCAACAGACACGACAAGTGACGGCAATCAAACCTGCTAATCCCAGCCCTGCAACAACTACTTTCTCTATATACCCTGTTTCCTCCACTGTGCAGCCTGTTGCAGCTGCAGCCACTGTAGTTCCTTCTTACACACAGAGTGCCACCTACAGTACAACTGCTGTTACATACTCTGGTAAGCTCTTTTGCTTATTTCATTGGGGGGCGGTGGGTTTATTTTTATTTTTTGTGTGTGTGCATTAAATATATTTAATTAGGTGTTTTATATATATACTAAATATACTAAATATTTAAAAATGCAAAATGATCCTTATTCATAAAGCGCAATAACTTATAAGCAAACTTTCAGAATGCTAATGACCACAAGACATATTTTTCCTAACTAAATCCTGGCTAGTAGTGTAGGAACCCCCCCGAGCCAAGCCATGCAGTGTTAAGATTTAAATCTTAGTAGTGTCTACCATGAGAAGGCTGCTTTTATTAATGATCACAATGTAAGTACAAATGTAAACTTTGTTTTGTGTGTTTTTCCTTAGGTGCAACATACTCTGGGTATGAGGCAGCAGTATATTCAGCTGCATCATCTTACTATCAGCAGCAGCAACAGCAGCAAAAGCAAGCAGCTGCTGTGGCAGCAGCTGCAGCTACCGCTGCATGGACAGGGACCAATTTTACAAAAAAAGCTCCATTTCAGAATAAACAACTAAAGCCAAAACAACCTCCCAAACCACCTCAGATCCACTACTGTGATGTGTGTAAGATCAGCTGTGCTGGACCTCAGGTATACTGCTTGTTATATTGTGCAATGTTCATTGACTATTTTGCAAATTAAGTGTATATGTCAGGAAGTGTTTGAAAAGCAGATTAGTCATATGTGTGTATGTTAACACAACAAAAATAAAGCACTGCGCTTACAGCAGCAGTGGCTTCGTATCTAACAGCTCAAAATACATAGTAAAAACATACCTATGTACATTTACACGAAATGGAGGCTCCTTGAAATGGAGGCTAGTTTTATTCCAATGGGCATTTTAATATAAGCTCACATGCCACGTCAAGACAAGCCTCAAAAGGTGAGTCCTACACTAGCCATTAGATTTGCTGATATCAGCCAAGAATCTCCAGTAAGACAGGAAGAGGTATTTTATAAACACTTTCACATTTAACCCTTTATAGGCTTCCACACTGCTGGTATCAGACAAAGGTAAACGTATCTGAGACATGAAGGGGTGTTTTATAAACCCCTTCATACTTATTTACCCTAAATAGGGCTATAACACATACAAATCACCTTGCTGGTATCAGCTAGAAAGCAAATTTCTCTGAGATAAGTGTGTATATAAAATAAAACATGTAAGACTTTGACCTTGTTTGTTATAAATGTTAATTGAATACAGTAATAGTTTTTAGCATGATTTTTCCACTCTGCAGTTGTAAAGCCAAATTTTAAATTGCTCCAATTTGAATATTTGTGTTTTCTTGAGCTTTGACCATAGTAGAGGTGTATTTGTCTGTAGCTGAGCTGAAGTTTTTGGTTTTTTTTTCTGCATTTCACTGTTTAGTGAACAGACTTAGGTGGCAACTGTGTGTTAATAGGGAAAATATTCACTAAACACACACACTCTGCATTCATTATATACACACTGCACAAACACGCACACTCTGCATTCATTACACACACATATTCTTAAACATAAATTCTAACAGGCATGTATATTTTGTTCATTTACTTAATAAAAAAAATTTGCAAAAATAAACATGTTCAGTTAACAGTAGATTTGTGTAGAAATATTTTTTTATTTTTATTTTTTTTTTAAATGGTAAATGTACAGAATATCGGTAAGTTATCGGCCTGAAAATTCAGATTATCGGTATCGTTTTTAAAAAAAATCCATATCGGTTGATCCATACACCAAATTACAACTTTTTTACTTTTTAGGTATTATATAATATGACATACATATATGATCAATATTCTAGCTCTTTTCCCCACCTATCTTATGATAGCAATTTTTATAAGCCTGCATGTAAAAAAAAAAAAAAACATAGCCACAATCACCATATTTTTTATTTTTTTTTCCTTCTTCCCAGACCTACAAGGAACATTTGGAAGGGCAGAAACACAAGAAAAAGGAAGCAGCTTTAAAGGCTTCTCAGAATACAAGCAACAGTAGTACAGCAGTCCGTGGCACCCAAAACCAGCTACGATGTGAGCTCTGTGATGTTTCTTGCACAGGGGCAGATGCATACGCTGCTCACATCAGAGGAGCTAAGCACCAGAAGGTATGTTCTGCTCTGTGAGCATTGGATCTGCATGTAATATTTCTATGCATCCTCGATTTTATATTTATCAAATCTAATAAATGGTCCACAATGTAAAATGCTTGAATTGTGTGTGGGAAGCTTGAGGAGCAATCCATCTGACTAATGCTGAATGTTTCCAATGAATACAGCTGGTATGTGGGCTGATCATGCCTTCCTTTGCATCACATGATGGCATATTTTTCTATTTTATTAAAGTGGGCTTGTTTTTGAAGACTGGCATTTGGAAAATCTAGTTTTTAAAGGGCTACTTTTCCCTACAGCACTTCAGCATCTTTCATTGATTTACAAATTGTGTCACTTGTGAGGGTAAAACTATTTCTTCCACCGAACAGATTCCAGGTGCTCCCTGGATGCTTCATGGTGAATCCTAAACCGTCAAAATCACTTTATACGGCTCCTACCCATGGCTGAGAGTCTCTTCTCGTTTTCACTGTAATCAATAAGACAGGCTTTGTTTTTGATCATAAAAACAATTTTTCAATTACGGAGGTATTCAGGCTAGCTGCTGGTGGTGTAACTCTGCCTCAGGCAGCAGCACTAGTCAGACCAGGATGAGAATTTCGAGCTGGCTAATGTCAAATCTGTGCATATTAGTTGAATAGAACAGGGTTAGGCATCATTCCAGATGTTTTGGAATACATATCTGCCATTGCATGCTTATAACAATAGCAAAGAATCAAGAGAAATGTGGTCCACAACATCTGAAGTGCCAAAGGCTGCCTACCCCCAGTGATGAATGGCAGGATCTATACTCAGCTTCTGGTATTGAGGGTGGTTGGTGGGACCTAGGTAATAGGCAGACTGTTCCAAAATCGTCCATTCCCTTACTAGGGAATGGCACCAGGGTAATCCTGGCATAACCACAACAGTGAGCAGGGGTGGTTATGTTGCTCAGAGTAACACTTTAAGGAGCTTGAAAAAAAAATTAAGCTTATATCCTTGTTTGCAGCCCAGAGTGAGAATATGCTGTAAAGCAGGCCTGTCCAATCTGGGGGGCTGCAGGTTGGACAGCCCTGCTGTAAAGACTGTTTCAGTTATTGAGTGTAACAATTGTTTGTTTTTGTTTAGGTTGTGAAGCTGCACACAAAACTGGGTAAACCCATTCCCTCAACTGAACCAAATGTTGTCAATCAGTCTGTAACCTCAGCAGCTGTGTCGAAACCAGCAGCCTCAACAGGTGCTACATCCAGCACAAATGGCAATTCCTCTGGCACCACATCTACTGTGAAACTGCTCACCTCTTCTTCCGGCTCCTCTCTTAGTGCCACAAGCAACAAGATATCCAGCCTCTCCTCCAGTAGCATTGTGAAGAAAGTAACCACGCCAAAAATAACCTTTGTAGGCAAGTCTGTGTTAGTCTTGTTTACACATTGGCTATGTGGGGATTCAATACTAGCATAGTATGAAGTGAAATGAATGTCAGGTCACTTCACAGCAAGTTTTGTTGACTTGCATATTTTATACTGCTCATATTTCTGTTGTACTTCACTCAGAATGTTTGGGACAGTTGGGCACTAAATGCTAACGGAAACTGTATTTTTTTTTTTGGCTTTAACCATGCCTAGCTATACCAGCAACGGGTAGCCGTGATGGTCTGAGAGCATCAGCTGGTAGTCTCAATCTCATTGCCACCCATGACCAGTTGGGTTAATGCAGAAATGCTTGACCACTGAACAGTTGGATGGAACCTGGGGACCCTAGGCACCATTAACACCTCTCTGAGATGAAGTTATTAGGGTTCCTTGTGTCGCTTTTAATAAAATGTTAGTCAAAGTGAAAATTAATCAAGCTCTGTACAAATGGTACAGCACAGCATACAGTGATGCAGCTTATATTGCTAAACTGGAACATATTTTACGTTTATGTCCCATTATTAATAGGTTGACAATTATATCCAGTCATTCTGTTTTCAGTTTTTATAATGAGACCAGAGTATTTTGTAATATTTATGGCATGATTCCATTTGATTTATTATAATAAAACCATTTTGAAATGGCCAGTGGGTACTTTGTTTGAAACACTTGTAACCTGCCCATATTTTATATGGTTACTTTACCCATGATGACCACTACTGGTCGCTGGAGTGCCATGGTGCCATACCCTGGTAATGGTGCAAACCGTTTTACAACAGTTTGTTCTCTTATCTGGATCCCAGTGCACATCTCCACCCCAATCAGCGGAGTTATAACATCCAGCTGCTGCAAAAGCCAAATGCTGATTTTGCTGCTCATTGTCGTCCGCTGACTGCTCTTAGCCAGTGAATGAGCATCTGTGCATAAAATATGCACAGATTTGCCATTACCCAGCCCAGAATGTTTGTCCAGCCTGGGCAATGATGCCCTAGTGATGCAACAAGAGGTGGTTACACCTCTGGCAGTAGAGGGGTTAAATTGAGTATGTGCACTATTTCATAGCAAAATGCTGCCCATGCAGACTTCAGGCATCGTGCCAAATTTAGGGAAGTGGTTATGGTGCTTGGAGTAACCATGTAATTGTAGCTTTCTAGAAATAAACACTTTTGTAAATCTTTGTAGATTATTATTGAATTGTAAGTCTTTTAAGGCAAGTACCATTCTCTTTTAGTACATTTTTTTGGTTTAATGTATTTAGAGAGATTTAGCATTCTAATCCGTATTTGCCATTGATATCAACTTTTCATCTGAGCTGCCCATGAGATTTTTCATCTTCACTTTTTCCATTATTTAACTTTTTTTTTTCCATGTAGGTGGCAACAAACTACAGTCAACTGGTAATAAAATAGATGACTGCAAAATGGCAGATAACCCTAAGGTAGTTTCTAATGCTGCAGTGCAGTCACAAGAGGCAAAGATCGACCCAATGTCAGATGCTGCTCAGACTCTTGCTGCTTTGCAAAGTGATGTACAGCCTGTTGGTCATGATTATGTTGAGGAGGTAAACTTTCTGTTTTTATTGATCTTGTCAAATTCCTTGATTTCATGTAACATTCTTACATTAGCAGTTACTTATAAACGTTTTTTGTTTTTTTATGAGATCAAGTAAGTTAAATACATGAAGTCAGGACGCTCTTAAACCAAGCTCTGTTTTTATTTTAATGTCTTGCTAAAATGTTTTTTTTCCTACATTAAAAAAAGCTTACTTTACGTAACATGATCTTCAAATTCCACCCAAACGCACTTGTTGTTTTGTGTAAAGCTTAATGCAAGTTCATGCAGTGATCTTATTCTCATGACATTGTCTATATTGCTTCAAAGGGTCTCAGCTGTGGGTGCTATGGAAAGTCCTGCTTTTCAGAAAAAAACATACAAGAACAGTTTGTCAAAACCAGGGGATGATGTCCATAGATATTAATAATGAAAAGCACTACAGTACATGTTACATAAATACTATTTCCTTACAGGTGCGAAATGATGAAGGAAAAGTTATCAGATTTCACTGCAAACTTTGCGAGTGCAGCTTTAATGATCCAAATGCAAAGGAAATGCATTTGAAAGGAAGGAGACATCGACTGCAATACAAGGTTAGCTTTAACAAGTCAGAGATATAGTTACTTGTTCCTTCAGCCCCAGATCTTATTCAGGATGCTGGCTAGGCATTACATGGGTGCGGTATTGCATGCTGATTACTACATAGCTACAGCCTACTAAGTGAGTCAAAATACTAAGTTTTTTTAAAGTGAATCTTGTTTATCTTGAACAGAAAAAAGTTAATCCAGAGTTACAAGTTGAAGTAAAGCCTAGCATTCGCGCTAGGAAGATTCAGGAGGAGAAAATGCGCAAACAGATGCAAAAAGAAGAGTACTGGAGACGACGTGAGGAAGAGGAGCGATGGAGGATGGAAATGAGGTAGTGCCACTGTAACTTACTGCACTGTTTTAAATGTAATTCTTTTTCACAAAGTCATGGCCTCTTAATTTGCAGGAAAATAACTTGGAATATATGTTCTTAATTTTACCATATTTTGATATCTGCAGTTCCACCAACCGTAACAAAAAGCTAACTATTTACAGGAATCCACATTACATGGATCCATCCCCTTGAAGCTGTTATTTATGCACTTTAACTCCTTCACAATACTTAATGGACCACTATAGGCACACAGACCAATGACCTAATGATCCTGTAGTGCCAGGAAAAAGTTTGTTTTCCTGGCACTATAGTGGTCCTTTAAGGACTGTGTTGTCATTGTCAGTGCTTTTTCGGCATTTCTTGTTTGTGCTTGAGCTAGATGAAATTGACTCTGCAAAGCAGGCTAAACCTCATACTTTTCTATGTTGATTGGGCGGGTTTATAGCTATGGCAATTGTTACAGATCTCTGTGGCTACAGTTATATACCACTCTTGGCATTGGAAGTGGATGTAGTATACCCCATAATGTTTATGCTGATACAAAGTAGCTGTTGTGCATTAATGACCCTAAAGTTTCCATAGGAAGCATAGTTTGTATATTCAAAGTGTGGATGGTTACAGTTGCATCAAATACTTGTAACAAGTGCCAAAATGACCCTTCTGCTATAGCAAAAATTAACCTTGGCGTGCTAAATTCTATTTCTGCCCCCAGACGCTATGAAGAAGATATGTACTGGCGGCGAATGGAAGAAGAGCAACATCACTGGGATGACCGACGGAGAGGACCAGATGGAGGTTATCCACATGGACCTCCAGGGCCCCCAGGGTTACTGGGAGTTCGACCAGGAATGCCACCTCAACCTCCGGGACCAGCAGTGAGTTTGCTCTTAAATACCTCTTTTTACATATCCTTTGTTCAATTTGTTCAAGCTATAAAGCTTGTAAAAATGATAAGCATTTGCAGGGAAAGCCTAAGCACCAAAACAATCTTAAAGGGATACTATAGACATCAAAACAACTTTACCTTAATGAAGCAATTCTACTGCTCAATTCTGCAATTCTCTACCATCTAGGAGTTGAATCGCTTTTGTTTCTGTCCTTGCAGCAATAGCCATATCTCCTTTGGCTGTTACTCACACAACCTGCATTGAAAAAAGGTTTAATTTTTCAGACGTTACCTTGCTTTAGAAGAGTTGATCTCCTGCAATGTAAATTAATATGTACAGAAGGCTTCTGCAGAGTGTGGTAGGCTATAGCAGTAGATAGACTGTGTAATATAGTAACCAAGAATTCCTAGGTTCCTTTCAGGAAGTTTTTAGAAAGACTACAAGTCATACAGGGAGGTGTGACTAGGGCTGCATAAACAAAGTGGTTTAACCCCTAAATGACAGAGAATTGAGCAGTAAGACTGAATTTGATCACAAACTGCTTAATAAAGCTAAAGTAATTTTGGTGTGTATAGTGTCCCTTTAATTGATTTTGGGTTGTAGATGCTGCCTCTTCTGCAAATGAAAGCCATGGCATTTCTGTGGAAAAAGCGCTGTTGACATTTTGCAATGCCTATTGGTGTTGCATTCAATTATTGAACTTATTTTACATCCAACATTTGCATATTATGCTGCTGTGGTTTCAAAGAGAAGCATTGGATTTGGCAGGTAATAGCAAATGCCCTGTATAGGCCATATCCTCATTGGTTCTTTATAAATAAAAATATATATATATATATATATATATATATTATTTTTTTTTCCCCCTCTCTCCTTTTACTTGGTGTAAGGTATGTAAATGATCTGCCAGGAGTGTCCATATAAAGTATTTCAGATTACTAGAAAGCTGGATTTCATTCTTTGTTGTTTTTTGTTTTTCTGCAGCCCTTAAGAAGACCAGACTCCTCTGATGATCGTTATGTTATGACCAAGCATGCAGCAATTTACCCAACAGAAGAAGAACTGCAAGCCGTCCAAAAAATTGTATCTCTCACAGAACGAGCCCTCAAACTTGTATCTGATACTATGGCTGACCAGGACAAGAGTAAGACCAAGGAAAGTGATGAGAAGAAGGAACCTGTTAAAGAGAGGTATATAATTTTTTTTTTTTTTTTTGCAGCAAAGCTCAACAATTTTACTCTTCCATTGCCATAATAAAATGATAAACCCATTGGACCTATATAAAGTTGCTTGTAACAAGTCCTTACTAGTGTGTATTCTCCCTTTATGTGTTTGAAACATTTTATATGTCAGTTAATATTCAAAAGTGCCAACATGCTTGTTTCATGTTTTATTTTGGCAAAAACCTGTGATGGATAAGTGGAAAATGTTACCAGAACAGTTTCCTGCATGTTTAAGAAGAATAACGAATACTTAGGCCTGAACTGGAGTTCTGTATTGCTATTGGTCTGCATTGCTATTGGTCTGCATTGCTATTGGTCTGCATTGCTATTGGTCTGCATTGCTATTGGTCTGATTAATATTCACTTTAAGTCATGTGGTCATCGTGCCAGCAAAATGGTTCTAGATATAGTTTTAAAATGTGCATCTAGTGTGCTTCCAGTTTTTGGTTCTTCTGCACGATCAATCCCCTATTTATTGAGAGCTATACAATTATTCCAGGCAGCTGCATGCACATCTTCCACATGACCTATACACTGTAAACTTGTTTGAGCAGGGTCCTCTTCAACCTATCGTTCCTGTAACTTTTCTTGTAGTTGTCCTATTTATAGTTAAATCTTCCCTCTCCTAATATTGTAAAGCGCTACAGAATCTGTTGGCACTATATAAATGGTAATAATAAAGACTTGCGTGCAAGATCTACCCTTATTGTGAATTCAGGTGTTGGCAGGTTTTTTGGCAAGGTTTACTTTTCCAAACAAAACATTTTCATAATGTGTATTTAACCTATTTTCTCAGGGCTTTAAAAGGAGTCTTGCGTGTTGGTGTGCTAGCTAAAGGTTTACTGCTACGTGGTGACCGGAATGTCAGCTTGGTACTTCTATGTGCAGAAAAGCCGACTAGAACGCTGCTGACTCGTATTGCCGAAAATCTGCCTAAACAACTTGCAGTAAGTAACATTAACTGGCATGTGCTTCTGTGCATCAGTTTTATCTTTCTTAAGTAGCTACCTCATTTCAGTTTAACAGTGAATTTTTAAAATACATGTACAAATGTGCACATGCATACTGCTATAAAACGTGTATAAGGCAACAACATATTCCATAGTGGAGAATATGAATGAAGTATCCATACAGCCATGGATGGTGTAGGGTTATGTTGTGTTAACTTGCCACTAGAAGTAGATTGTTTTTATTTGTTTTGGTTCCTCCTCTTAGATAAAAATTGGAAGCACTTCAGAATGGGGTTTTTGCCTCCTTTTGGATCAACAGCAAAAACATATGTGAGGAAGGCTGAACTTGGACACAAGTTTTTTTTTTTCCAGCTATGTAACTAATTGTACCTCATAGGTTGTCTTTGTTTTTTTGTTTTTTTACTCCTTGGATAAGCTCTAATTGTACCTCACAGGTGTTTTGTTTTAGGTGTTTTTTTTTTTGGAATCTGATATTTTTACTTAATGTTTTTGATTTTTTTTTTTTTATGTTGTTTTTTTATGATGTTGCATCAGGAAGAATAAACTTTACCTGCATGTTTTATGTAATCTCTGTATCCATTCTATGGTTTGGCTACAATACATCTCCACTGATTGTATTCTAAAGATATGTTATAAAACAGACTGCACTGGAATATGTTTAAATTTTTACACCGTTAAAGCCTAGCTATACATTAGGTAAAATAGAGTGTGTCTTGTGTTGGGCTCATTTTTTTGTTCAATTTGGAAAATGAGGACAGACGCTCGAGGTGCTAGGGGAGCTAAAGGTATGTTGCCTCTTAGTACCTTTTCTTTCTTTCTTTCTTTCTATTTTTTTTTTTTTTTTTCTTGGCATCCATTTAGGGGGTCTTTGCAAAGTCAATGCTACTCTAATACCCATCTGTTGTTGTTTTTTTTTTTTAACATATGTGGGCATTAGACCACTTGGCCTATAAATAGAAAGAAAATTGGATTTTTTAGAAACTGCATTAAAGAAACTCAAATTAAAATACAGAACTCCTATATTCAGCCATTTTAGATACTTATCTGAAACTGTTATTTTATACTGTACTTGGAAGTAACCAACTGTCTCATGCAAGTGGTGGTTTGTTAAGATCCGTCATTTATTTTTCCTTATCTAGCAAGTTTTCCCATCTGTGGACAATGTATTGGCAAGTAGACAAATATTATCACAGTGTGATATTTGGACTAAAAATAAATATATGTGTTTCTGGAGGTTTGCTACAGATTGCGGTTTGCCTGTGCTGCCTTTGTTTGTTCATTTTTATATAGGTTCTCTTTGGCTCTTAAGTAAAACTTATTTTTGTTTTGTTACTGCACCTTATTTCTGTATAAACTGATAGTTATGTCTCATGTGTTGTACAATTATTTGAAATAATTGTTTTCTACCTTGTTTTTACCTGTTATGTTTACAACCATTTTTTGGTGCATTCTCATATATTATTTTTATCTGCACTATGCATGTGCACACAATTTAAACCTTAGATGATTGTCTATTATATTCAATCTGTATTCTGGTTATACACATGAAAAATGCTGTACTATTTTTCCTCTGAAGATTGTTCGTATAGTTGACCATTTCTTTATTAATAATTTTCTTCTGCAGTTAATAAGCTCTGAAAAGTATGAAGTCACTTGCTCTCTTCAGGAAGCAGCGATTGTACTGAATTCGTGTGTGGAGCCTAAAATGCAAGTTACAATAACCCTTACCTCTCCGGTGATAAGAGAAGAAAACATGAGAGATGGAGGTTGGAATAAACAGAACAATGTTATCTGTATACTTGTTTGTTTTCAATGTGTTTTTTCCTTGGAGATGATCTATTCTAAAAAAAGTTTAAAAAAAATTAATGCTGGCACATGCTTTCATTAGAGATGCAAACTGGTGATGGTCAAATTTCCCTGTATGCTGCTCTTTATTTTACATACGTGCTAAAACCCAGAACTTTGAAACCCCTTTGTTTCTATTTTAAATGGTTTTACCAGTCTCTGGAACTCATTGGTTAATTTAATCCATCCACTTTCATAAAAGGATTGCTGCAGTTGAAAGGCTTAAGAGACAGAGATCTGCCTTTGTTTGTCAACTGGACCATTGATCGTAAAATCAATAAACCCCTTTTGCATCTTTGAAATGAAATGCTTTTGATGCCAGCATTGCCCAGGTCTCTTCTGTAACCCTCTTAAGACTTTCTAGCTTTCAGGCCAAATACTGCATGCTCAATGTCTGCATAAAGCTGGTTCTGTTGCTCTATAGGTCAGATAGAATGATGTTTGTTTCCTTAATTCACCTCTTTGTTAAGATCCCAAGTTAGAGGATGATAAAGTTCCATTTGGGGTTAGTTATATACGTAAGTAGATTATGTGTAAACTTCAATCTGCTGCAAAGCAAAATCACAAATGTTGTTCCACCTACTTTGTTTTCACACATCCACAATTTGCAAGCAAATACCAGCCTGTAACTGTGATTAGATCAGAGCTGTAGTGATTAGTCCATTGCTGATAACTGTTCTTCTGCAGTGTATTTGTTTATGTATTTTAAGGCCATTATCAAAATAAGCGAACATCTGTAAGTTTTTGCTTGCATGCTTAATGTACAGAAAGGAAACAAAACATTTGTCTGACCTAGTCTGGATCTGGTTATCAAGAGTAGCTGGACTGAGTCACACTACCATTCTTTAGGGGATGTGGATGATGCAGGGAAATCTTTTTTGCTTATGTTCATAAACTCTGCAAAGCATCTGAAAATATGAAACTGTTTAGAAAGATTTAGTCTGGAATCTTCAGTTTCTTTCCAAATATGACTCCTCGTTACTTTCTTCACAAAACCTATTTAAAGAACCCTGATTTTTTTATTTTTTTTGTAATTGCTTAATCTCAGGAAGGCTGGAGAAAAGTAGCTTGGCTAGGAAATTTTCTGCATGCTTTTCTGTCTTACTCAAGGTGTGGTTTTACCTTAGTAGAATAATGAAATTTACCTGTTAACGCACAAATCTTACATGGATAGACTGCGATTAACAGTCATTTTAATAGAATGTTTAACCCTTGCTGCTGAAATCTTCTCCAGCAAGTATGTCTGTATTTAAGTATTATTCTCCAATCCTTTATCAATTTAAAGTTTTTTTTTATTTAGCAGAGATTTTGTTCCTACCAGGAATTACTGCCAAGAAATCGGAAGGATTTTTGACCAAGGTCTTTCTAGCTCAGTGTCACACCAGCCATTGTGTTAAAGGAGGGGGTTTGGTTGCATAGTCCAGGCATCTGCTTCCCCTTTTTTTTTTTCATTTTCTTTTTTTTGTTTGTCCCCTTACCCTATTTCCTTCTTGAAATTTAACCAGTGCTCATGCTATTTTCTTGCTGGCTACACCTGTATAACAGACAAAGGTAATTTTATCGTCTAGAAGGAATATCCAATTATGCAAGAAATAGTGTGGGCACAGTGTTCTTTTCACTCAAGATTAACTCCTTAGGGCATTTTAGAAATCTCATTTTTTAACCTCTAAGTGGTATCTTATTTCTAAAATGTTCTTGAACTTTTAAGGGGTTGATCCAAACAATATAATATGGATGCAAAAATCCACAGCATATGTTAAGCAATTTCCCTTGCACTTTTGTGGGAGAGTGAATTTTGTTGTCTTTGTTCTGAAATTATGTATGTGGAATAAAGAGGTTTTGTTTTTGGGTTTTGTTTTTTTTTGTGTATTGTTTGATTCCCCCCCTTTCCTTTTTTTATTTATTTTAATCCAGTAAAAAGGTTCTCCCTTTTATGAACTTGTGTGCATAGGTTTAGGTTGATTGAGTTCAACTTTGATCTCTTGCTACTTTTTAGTGGCTATGAATACCAATGCTAACAGTCCTTAATATGGAATTCTCCTAAACAGCTGGGGTGGATTTCTGCATCCTCTGTCTTGTGTTCTTTGTGCTGGTGCATTGTGGCCAACCATCCTTCCTTCCGTATTCGCTTTTGCCAATATAGTATGATAGAAACAATACTCTTCTTGACTGGTTAATCCAGATTGACCCTACTTTTTGCCAAAGGAGCTTGCCACATTTGGCATTCAGGATCCTACCACTATTAGTTGGTAAAAACTAATAGCTCACTGTTTTTATTTTATTTTTTTCTGTTGACTGCTTGTTTGTCAGCTCATTTCAATGTTTGAGCATAGTAAACTCCATTTGGTTAAGGGAGATTATTTTGGTTTTACTTTTAAATGGCTTGTGTGACACTGAAGCTAAATGGGGAAAAAAGTGTCTTGCTCACCTGGTCAAACACCCGTCCCTCACTGCACTTTGCCAATTCAATTCATTTTAGATGTAACCTCGGGTATGGTGAAAGACCCACCGGACGTCTTGGACAGGCAAAAATGCCTTGACGCTCTGGCTGCTCTACGCCACGCTAAGTGGTTCCAGGTTCGCAATATCATTTTACTTTCTTCTTGTAGCCTTATGAGAGAATAGCACTATCATTGTTATTTTGTTGTATATCTGACACGCTTGTAAGTGGTTAATGTTACTTTTCAATTTAAATGACCAGAAAATTGTAAACCTGAAATATATTGATGCTTAGAATAGCCATTCTGCTATTTAATTGCATTTTAGATCCTTAATTATTTTTGTTTTTGTTTTTATTTTTGGTTTGCTTCATTTTAATTTTTTTTTTTTTTTCTGGTCATTGAGTAGTCATTAAATACAAAGGCTTACTCATTTATCTAGTGTTCCCATCATAAACTGTGTTGTGAATCTGTAATTCCATAAGGCTGCATAGTATCTTTGCTTAATAAATTGAATACATGTTAACCGCTTCATGTTTAGCTTTTAAAGTTTTATCCTGATTAAACTGAAGTGTAGGAAGTGAAAGGCAGAATGAAACTGTTTGGTATTGTGACTTTGAGCTCTAGCAAAGGCACATGGGGACCAAACAGATTCAAGCAGCTTTTCAGTCCCTACCAATGCCTTTTTATTTATTTATTTATATATTTTTCTTTACTTTGGCTTTTATAATATTCTTTAGATAATTTTTTTTATTTCTTTGTAAATGTTAAATGCAGTTTTGCAAGTTAAATTTACAGGTCGCGAAGCCTAGTTTACTTGTATTGACTACATAACTGATTAACATACCATTGTAAATGGAAGTTCAGCCTGGATTTCCAATGAAGTGGTATTTTAGACATTTGAATTAGACTGATGTAACTAACTTGCTTTATTGTTGTGCACATAAGGCTAGAGCCAACGGTCTGCAATCCTGTGTCATAATCATCCGTATTCTCCGTGATCTCTGCCAACGTGTGCCCACATGGTCAGATTTTCCCAGCTGGGTATGTACAATTTTCTGTGTGGTAAGAAATGGGGTGTAGTAAATAAAATAAGTCAAAGCCTTAATTTTCCACTTTGGTTTACAGTTGACTAAAATGTAGCGTTTAGCGCATCCAAATCCAAAATGAATTTTCTGCATATAGGGCTATGCAGACAACTTATAGAAACAAAGTGGAAAACAAAGACTCCATCCACATGCCGATGCAGTGATTTTGAGTCCAATGTATTGTTGTCTAAAAGGTCCTGCACCTGCTTTTTGGATGCTCTCATGAGCTTTCCGATCAAGATCTACCAGAGTGTAAGTCGAGGAGGAGTAGAAGGGAAATGCTTGATAACTTCACATTAACGGGACACTCCACTACCAAATGCAAAATTAAAAAGTCACGGTTTAGTAGATATACCCATATGAATACTTGCATGCATTTAATTATGACATTTTTTTTTAAGTACCGTATATACTAGAGTATAAGTCGAGTTTTTCAGCACATTTTTTGTGCTGGAAAAACCCCCACTCGACTTATACTCGAGTCACTGTCTGTATTATGGCAATTTACATTGCCATAATACAGACAAGGACTGCCGGGCTCATTACAAGCCCGGCGGTCCTGTTTGGGGGCTGGCAGAGAGCTGTAACTTACCTTTCCTGCAGCTCCTGTCAGCTCCCTTCTCTCTCCTCCGGTCCGGTCAGCTCCCACTGTAAATTTCACAAAAGCCGCGGGGAACGCTTCGCGCGGCCGCGAGACTTAGTGGAGGAGAAAGGAGCTGACCGGAATGGAGGAGAGAGAAGGGAGCTGACAGGAGCTGCAGGAAAGGTAAGTAACAGCTCTCTGCCAGCCCCTCCCTGGCCAGCTAACTAGCAGGGAGGGGGGACGAAAATAAATATAAATAAAAAAATTAAATATAATAAAAAAATATTCATAATATATAAAATAATAATAAAAATACCCCCCTCCCCCCCACCAAGGCTCTGCATCACATACACACACTGCACTCATGCACTCGCGCACGCACTCATGCGCACGCACACACTCATACGCGCGCGAGCTGCACACTGTAAATAAATATTCAATTAATATAATTTTTGGGGGATCTAATTTTATTTAGAAATTTACCAGTAGCTTCTGCATTTCCCACCCTAGTCTTATACTCGAGTCCATAAGTTTTCCCAGTTTTGGGGGGTAAAATTAGGGGTCTCGACTTATATTCGGGTCGACTTATACTTTAGTATATACGGTATATCTAAATTCAACTTCCGAAAACTGTAGTTCTCTTGTATGTTGCTTTTGCAAGCTCTCCCCTTCTAACGCCGCCCATATTTTTTTGTGGCTGTCTAATCACAGATTTCCCAATGCAGTTCAAAGAGAAGTCTTTGCAAGGAAGGCAGGTGCTCTGGTCAATTGCTGCCTCTTGAGTTTAGCTTCACTGGGCTAACCAAACCAGGAATATAGTCTGTGTGCTTGTAAGCCAAGGGAGTGTAACCTGCTTAGTTTATAGAAGTGTCAATTTCTATTGAAATCTGCACTTTTGGCAAGATGAGAAAAAGACACTCTTCACATACAAAAGCTGTTCATCTTGAGTGTCCCTTTAAGAAAAAAAATACAAAGTATAGTTTTGACCTTTATCTATTTACAGATGTAAATTCGTTTTAAATGCTGTTTTATTTGGTCATTTTATTAATATCACGTGTAAACCCCTTTTAATAACTTGTTGGGTTTCCAGAAGTATAAATAATTTAGTTAGTCTTGGTGGTAGGGTGATTCAGTGGGAGCTAAAGATATGTAAGTGTTTGAACAGGAACTTCATGAGTGTGCTAACAAATCATGTTTTCATAGGCCATGGAGTTATTGGTGGAGAAGGCAATCAGCAGCTCTTCAGGACCTCAGAGTCCAGGGGATGCTTTAAGAAGAGTGTTTGAATGCATTTCATCTGGTATAATCTTAAAAGGTATGCTGTGGTTTTTGTTTATCTAAAATGGCTTTTAGGCAAATGTATTATTTACAAACAGAAAAACACTTTACACTTGCTGCAGATTACAGCTCTTTATATATGAACCTTCTGATAAAATCAATTACATTGTTCACTTGTGGGTGTCAGGTCAAATTCAAATACCTCTTATTTAAAAGACATACAAGTTGTACTTGTGGAACAATCGCAATGATCTTACTCCATTCTTACTTTTAGAAATGTCTTAGAAATCTCTTCAGTGGGGTTTAAATTAAGACCTTACTACTGCTTACACTGTGTTATAGTTGGTTAGTAATGTGTTTTCAGCTTGATAAAACGAGCTTGGTAATTAAATGCTAGACTTCAGATCTTTAAAAAAAAAAAAAGTCCTGTTAGGTCTGTATTAAAGTATGTAGCAATATGCATATTGCTATTGTTCTATTTATTTTTAAGGTTATGAATAAAATGGGGTTTTTTTGTTTTGTTTTTTTTAAGGTGGTCCCGGATTACTTGACCCATGTGAAAAAGATCCTTATGACACTTTGGCCACTATGACAGATCAACAACGAGAAGATATTACTTCTAGTGCGCAGGTAACTTTTAATGCTACTTTTTGCTTTCTAGGGTGCTGTTAATGTGTGTCTAAAGGTACAGGTTTACAATCTAGATGTATGCATGAATCCTCAGAAAAGTTTCCTACAGGCACCGGAGCAAGGTTTTTTGGGGGGTTTGTTTGTTTGTTTTGTTTTTTTTTTGTTTTTGTTTTTTGCTATATAGGCGAAGATGCATTTTGCTGCCCCAAGCTGCAATTGGGGGAGAGTGGCCGTTGTGGAGATGATATGGGACTGTTGTAAGGGTATAAAAGTGGAGTTAGAGCTGCACATGGGCTGATAACTGCTGTCGGAGGGCTGACGGGGCGGGGAAGCGCAGAAAGAGGGGGCAGCTACTGGAGAGGGAAACAGGAGCTGTGGTGGGGGGTCACAGGGGCTGCTTTAAAAATAAAAACCTACCTCTGCAGCCTGCATTCAGTGAAGTCATCAGAAAGGGGCGTGACTTCCACTGCTCTTCTCCCAGACCCCCCAGCATTTTGCTGGGGAGTCTGGGAGAAGAGCAGTGGAAGTCAAGCCAGAGGCAGGCGATTTGGATTTTTGCGGCCGTCTTATGGACGCTGGCCATGCTTCCTAAACACAAGCAAAAAGGCTGAGTTAAGAATTTGCAAATACTTAATTGAATGTATGATGTACTTTATGCTTCAATTTGCATCTGGGAGGTAATGCTTCCTTCAAGCAATGACTTGGTGGGAATTTACAAAACCTCCCTTAGTTACTCCCACTTATGTTACATTAAAGGATCACTATAGTGTCAGGAAAACAAACCCGTTTTCCTGACACTGTCGTCCTAGGGGGACCCTCACCCTCAGGGTCCCCCTCCCGTGGCGCTAAAACCCCTTCAGCCACTTACCTTCGGCGCTGGTTACCTCTCCTTCCCCCGCAGACGTCGGCTCCCGAGTGGAGCGGAATGAGCACGCGCGGCAAGAGCCGCGCGCATTCTAACAGTCCATAGGAAAGCATTTCTCAATGCTTTCCTGTAGACGTTCTGCACGCTGGATGCGAATTTCGGAAGACAGCCACTAGAGGTTTCTCTGAAACTATGTTTACATGTGAAGGGTTAAAACCTGAGGGACCTGACACCCAGACCACTTCATTGAGTTGAAGTGGTCTGGGTGACTATAGTGTCCCTTTAAGTTCACTAGCAGTACTGACTTTTGCAAACACTATTTCCTTTATTGAGATCTCTGAAACTACTTTCATTAAAGTGACACTGTAGGCACCCAGACCACGTCAGCTAATTGTAGTGTGGGTGCTGTGACCCTTTTGCACCTAGTGTTGCAATGTAAAACATTGCAGTTCCAGAGAACTGCAATGTTTTATATTGCAGCTCTAAGTCTGTCCTCTGTGGCTTGGCTGTCTAACAGACAGTCACTAGAGGGCTTCCGAAATCCAAATGGACTTTTGGTACGTGATCTGACATTGGACGTCCTCATGGACCTCCAGCGACAGATGTTTCCCATAGGAAAGCGCGAGTGGCAGGTCGGCTGAAGAGGAGCCTGACCCAGCGCCGTGGGACATTGGCGCTGGATTCGGGTAAATGGCTGAAGGAGTTTTTACCCCTTCAGCCCCGTGGTAGGGGGCCACTCCAGGAGCCTATAATGCCAGGAAAACAGTTTTGTTTTCCTGGCACTATAAGATCCCTTTAACTGTGGAACTAATTAAAGGGGCTAGTGATGCTGCAGTCAGATAGTATCACAGTGTGGATTGTCCCCGATTTTACATTTTCTGATTCTGTCTGAATTTGGCATATCTATTAAATTGAAAAATGGCCTTTTCACTTTGTAAAAATTAAGTATTCTATAAGCACCATGACCACTTCCACGCTATCAAGTCGTTACGGTGCCTGTAGTCTTTGTCTGCTTCGTTTCACTATGAAACGTTGTACATATGGAGTTAATTGTCTATGCTGCCACGGTTGTAACTCTCCCTGCCGTAGTGTCATAAGGGTAGTCATCAGCCAGCCTGCAACAAGAGTTCCAGAGGACTATCATCAATTATGTGTAACTTTTCATGCACAGCGTGCCATTTATTGCCTGAGAGCATTCAGCTGACAATCTCAGCCAATGATTAGCAACTGAATCAGCATCTGCAGAACCTGGAGGTGAATTGCCAATGGGTAAAGAGCCTCTGACTCTGTTTACTAAATTACTAAACCGTTTGACCCATTATTGGGAACTGACCAGGATACTCCTGGCATTATAAACAGGGATGTATGATTCTTGTAAAATTCCTTTTTACAGATGGAAAACACTCTAAACTCTTTCCTGCTCTGAATAGTTACACTGCGTTCAATAATGTATGAAAAACAATATTGGGGTAATTTTCTAAAAATGTAGCAATTGGTTTATTTTATTAATATTTTTCCTAATTTTGTTGTAGAAATTAATAAGAAAATTTGATTCAGGAAAACTCTCACCCCCATAACAACTTAAGACCATTGAAAAGGGAACTGCCACTTCTCTGGAATTTACACCATTAAATAAAACTTTGCAAATTGTCTATAACTTGTTGTAGATTTCTACTTTTTAATGTTATTTTTCACACCTTACAAATACCCATTTGTTAAATATAAGGAACAAGTTAACCTCTCTATAAAGGGCCACTCCTGACCCCTAAAGCACTCTAGCTTGCTGAAAAGCTTTGTGTGAAGTGTTGGCCAAAGCAAGAAAAGCTTGAAAATAATCTGAGCAGCCCCTCCGGACTCCAGAGAAAGGATCCACTGCTAAAAGTGCAGATTTTGATAAAAATTTGCACTTTTTAATATTAAATTGTTTACACCACCCTGGATTTTAAGCAGACAACCGATCATATTCCTGGTTGTTTAGCTTAGTGGAGCTAAACTCAAGAGGCTGCAAAAGCTCAGATCACCTGCCTTGCAAAGACTTCTCATTGAGCTGCCTGGGAAGTCTGTGATTGGACCGCCACTAAAAGTCTGGGCGGGGTTAGAAAAGGGTGGGGCTTGCACCTGCAGCATACAATTAAAACTTATGTTTGTTTTTTTATTGATGTTATAGCTACTAAGCAGCAATTAATTTTTTTATTTGGGCAGTGGGTTTTCCATTTTTAAGTTGTCTTGTCTTCAGGGATTACAATGTTTGGCAATGGTTTATTCCAAAAGTTGGGGCTCCTGCTACTTGCACTTTAGACTTCTGGTTTCCATTCATCTCTGCAATGCTGTACAAGAAAGCCTGAGCCATGAAGCCACTGATGCTTCATCTGATACGATCAGCCCATCAGTTACTGCCCATTGAGAAATATATTTTTCATACCCTTTTCTCCCACTCTGTTCTGTTTAAAAAGCACAAAAACTGTGTTAATCTTGCTGACAATTCTGCTCTTGTTGTTCTCCCTCCATTCTAGTTCGCACTGAGACTGCTTGCGTTCCGACAGATCCACAAAGTACTCGGCATGGATCCACTGTCTCAGATGAACCAGCGTTTCAACATACATAACAACCGCAAGAGAAGGCGAGACAGTGATGGTGTGGATAGCTTTGAAGCAGAAGGGAAGAAAGATAAAAAGGACTATGATAACTTCTAAAATGCACTGAAATATATAGGCTCCTATATTCGTGCAGAACTTCCCTGAAAAATACATTTCCACATGTAGGTTGTTTGATCAGGTCTTTTGTGGGGTATCTAGTACCAAAACTGCCATGCTAGCCTGTTACAGTTACACTACTCTAGATCTTGATAAATAACCCAGCTAGATGTTTAATTTTTCTTTTTAAATATTTGTATAGAGTTGTTTATTTTTCTTTCTCCCTAATAAATAAATCTCCAAACACCATCCTATCCTTATTCCGAAGTTTCTTACACATCTATTTGTGATCCTGTACCCCTTATGTTTGGATAGGATAATTTCCAGTAACATATTGGGCTGTAGTGCTCACCTGTTATTGTAGTGTTTTATCCAATACTAACACTTAATTTTCTGCTCTCATTTAGGTCACTGAATTATTATTTTTTAAAGGACTATGATAAAGGGAAAGCTTCCCTTCTTAAGTTGTTAGTTAATTTGTATTCGATATTGGCATGAACAGTTTCTTGTTTTTTTTTTGTTTTTTTTGTTCTGTATATTGGAACACCTGCATATAAATACACTCCCAGTGTATTTTGTTTTGCAAGGCTTATAACACAGACTGTCCTTATCCCCAATTGACTCTACTATGTTTAAGTGTTTCTGCAAATGTTGTGACTTTTGTCTCAACAGTAGGTGTAACTAAGGCAGCTTCCTGTCAACTTGTCATTTATTTTGTTGTGCTAAAGACTGATTTAAAAAAAAGTAATATATAACTCTGGTATGGTCTTTAAAAGAAATAATAATTTGCTACATATTGGTTGCATGGGTTTTTCTCCCTTTTTTTTTTTTGTTTTGTTGTGTAAAATGAATTTTAAAGCTTGTGATAAGTATTTTTCTCTTTTGCTAATTATGTAGCGGCGCTAATGTGAATACATTCAAGTTGTATGTGGTTTACCACCTGCATCTTTCTCTGGCCATACCACTCATTATGTAGGAAGGCATTTCAGTAACCCAGGCTGTCGATTTGCAATGAAACCTATTTAAGACTTTGACCTGATTTGAGTTATTAGAGCTGTTGGCAAAATATTTAATGCAGTAGCAATTCTTGCTTTAGTTGCATATATTGATATTTGGCTTACACCAAAAAGTTAAAGTGCACCTAGCTAGAAAAATCTAGACATATTCTGTAAAACACTAATTTGTATTAGTATTTTTAATTTTGTTTTCCATTTTAATTTTGCATCTTTGGGTTCACGTAAGAAGTGGGCAAATTAATAAGTCCATCAGCGTTTTAATTTACTAATAATGCCCCTCGTGAGTTAATTCAAATAAATTGTCCCTTATAGACATTATGTATAACATAGCTAGTTGCTTTTTTCTAAAAATGCACATTTAAATTTGCATCCCTTTTTTTTTTTTAATCCAGTTTTTAAACTCCATGCTGGCTGATAACTTTTCAAACATCATAAAAGCTGTGGTAATTTTAGCATGCATCATCTAAACTGCAAGTATGTTATATGTATTTAAGTGAAGCACTTGGTAGACAGAGCAGAATGTTCCTGTTCACACATTACATATGTATTTAAAGTAAATAGATGTTTTGGGGCACTTTTTTACAAATGACACTGAATGTCTTCTCAATAGGTTTCATTGTATGTCCTTAGAGACCTGCCCCCTTCCTTTTGGCATTCTGCACTTTAATTACTAGTGCATTGCTATCACATTTCCACACTCTCTCTCCCATTTAAGACCATGTCTAATCACAGCAACAGAGTATTAAACTGTTAACATTTTGATGATTACTTGGTCTGGCCTACTTTCATTAACTTAAGACTGATTAAGACCATGGTGTAATGTAGTTTGCATTATTTTGTTAATGTATGCTCTGGTATAGATACCATTTTGTTGTCACAGCAATGCAGTGAAATAAACCTGAAAGTTGACAATCTAATACATTTATTGTGTAGAAAATATTTTCTTAACTTTGTGCGTCTGTAAATTAACAGATGACATTAGTATCTTGTAATACAATTTTATTGAAATTTTGAAATGACCAGCTTTTCTGAGCAAAATCGACACAGACTTCAAAGTTGAGTTGTGATACTGGGGTTGAAGCGACATGAGTGCAGATAAGATACAGGCCTAACAGACACCATTCCCACAGAGGGTCATGAATATCTTGTGTAAGGATATATGTGTATATCAGGGCTCGACACATACCAGGCGCTTCGGTGACTAGGAATTTTGTCCTTGTCCCTGGGTGTTTGTGCGACTGGACACTGTGTTCTACCTGCCATGGGGGCCCAAGAACTGCCCAGCTGGCCATCTTAGGACCCCTCTGAGATGGGCAGCTGTGCTGAATGGAGGCGACAGCAAGGGGTAATCTTCTTGCTCTGTTCCCTCGCACTTCTTGCTGTGATGCTGGAAGTTAAAATGTCACTCTGGCATCACGTGAGCAGAGCAAGAAGAGCTTGAAGATAATCTGAGTAGCCCCACAGGAAATGATCCACTCCAGCTCTCCCAAAGGTAGAGAGGCTGGGTGGATGTATATTAAAATAAAGCATCGTTATGAGGAAATGCTGATTGGCGCAGCATTTTGTTACACATTTATAATAACCACATAGTGCACAAGGCATATTACATAGAACACTGAACTTTGGTGCTGAACACACAGTGCTGCACTGAAATAGGAAGCCCGTCTAATGGCTGTCTGAGTGACTGCCAGTAGATGTGCTTATAGGCAGCAATGTAAACATTGCCTATTCTCTGAAAATGCAGTGCTTACACGGACACACCTGCATGTACAGGCTATACACACCAGAACCACTACATCAGGCTTCCCAAAACTCCCATGATTCTATGAATGAAAAAGGCTGAGAATCATGAGTTGTAGTTCAGGAACATCTGGAGGGCCGGAGTTTGGGGAAGCCTGCACTACATTAAGCTATAGTGGTTCAGACGACTATCCTAGTGTCCCTTTCTGTTATTTTTGTCTAAAAAGAAAAAAACTTTCCTAGCTTCAAAGCACATTTGTCAAGCCCTGGTGTGTGGGTGCGTATCAAATCCCGTCACTTATCCCAATCAAAAAAAACACACAAATATATAGCCTGGGTGCAATACTGCATGGAAAATATAAATAACTTTAGTAGCACTCACAGGTGTATCATTGTTTTATTCGGTGAATTACATAAAGTGGTAGTTACAGACTATAAAAATTTTGGCCACTAAAGGCCTTTATCGAGATAACTACCTGTGAACCTTGGGTGGGTGAAAAGTAGACACCCACTAAATCCAAAACCCAAAAGTACAGCCTTAGCGTGATATTGGGACAAAACCAGGCCTAATGACTGGATTGGTAAGTAATATATAAACATGGTACCAAGTATGACAAATTACCACTGAAATGTGTCAATATTGCACGTTGTAAATATACATGGGCTACACAAGCCAGGAAGAATAGTATTTCTGTTTTTGATGTACAAAATAATTTTAAGTAGAAGTATAGATCAGGGTGTTGCAGTGGATGTGATATATTTGGATTTTGCCAAGGCATTTGATACAGTTCCACACAATAGATTAGTGTTCAAACTCAAGGAAATCGGTCTAGATGAAAATGCTTGTTCTTGGGTAGAACATTGGCTTAAAAACAGAGTACAAAGAGTTGTCATTAATGGTACATTTTCAAGCTGGACAGAGGTGGCAAGTGGTGTCCCTCAGGGGTCTGTTCTGGGACCCTTTCTATTTAACATTTTTATAAATGATCTTGAAGACTGCATTGAAAGTCATGTTTCAGTGTTTGCAGATGAGACAAAACTGTAAAGTAATACATTATGAGCAAGATATTACTTTGCTGCAGAGAGATTTAGATAGCCTGGGGGAGGGCAGATGAAACTTAATGTTGAAAAATGCAAAGTTATGCACTTCGGCGTAAAAGGATACACAAGCAACGTATACCCTTAATGGAAACGAATTGGGGATAACACACGAAAAGGATTTGGGAATTGTTATAGACAACAAACTATGCAACAATGAGCAATGTCAATCAGCAGTGGCCAAGGCCAGTTTGATCAGTTTGTCCTGCATGAAAAAGGGCATTCATTCTCGGGACGAGAATATCATTTTGCATCTTTATAAATGACTGATAAGACCACATATTGAATATGCTGTGCAATTTTGGGCACCTGTTCTAAAGAAGGATATTATGGCACTAGAAAAAGTACAGAGGCGGGCTACAAAATTAATAAAAGGAATGGAATATATCCGCTATGAAGAAAGGTTAACAAATTTAAACCTATTTAGTTTAGAAAAACGTTGCCTGAGAGGGGATATGATAACATTATACAAATATATTCGGGGGCCAATACAAACCATTGTGTGGAAATATATTCACAAACCGGACTTTACATAGGACACAAGGTCATGCGTTTAGACTGGAAGAAAGAAGATTTCGTCTAAGGCAAAGGAAAGGTTTTTTTTTTACACTGTAAGAACAATAAGGATGTGGAATTCTCTGCCTGAAGTGGTTTTATCTGAGTCTATACAGATGTTCAAACAGCTACTAGATGCATACTTGCAAAAACACAATATTCAAGGATATAATATTTCAATGTAGGGTAATAACTGCTTGATCCAAGGATAAGTCTGACTGCCATTCTGGGGTCAAGAATGAATTTTTTTTTCCCTAACTTGTTGCAAAATTGTGCTTCAAACTGGGTTTTTTGCTTTCTTTTGGATCAACAGCAAAAAACAAATGTGAGGAAGGCTGAACTTGATGGGCAAGTCTCTTTTCAGCTATGTAACTATCAAGCTGTGGCCTCAAACGTCTGGGTGCCAGGCACATAAGCACAATAAAAGCTGGCTTTAGTTTAAAAGAGAATTATCACCTAAGCAGTGCACAAGTGGTTACACTCTTTACGTATATGAACCATGCAAAATATATATATATATAGTAACAAGTGTAATACAGTGACAGAGATGCTTATCTTTCCCTCTCTCCCACCTTCATCTACTTATTGTATTGATTTAGATTCCCCCCCTCCGTTTGCCTGCTCAGCTTGCATGCGGTCTAAGCCAGCAAAATGGTCCAATCAAATACTTCAGATGAAGGTGTAGAAACGGCTCTGGGAGCATGGTGTTTTCATCTATTACATAGGGTCAAAAAAACACTCTCTCCCCTTCCACCCCCCAACTTTAGCTTAAAGGAACACTATAAGGCCAGGAACACAAACTTATTCCTGACTCTATAGTGTTTAAAACACCATTTGCCACCTTAAATAATATACAATTCTTACCTTTATTTCAGTCTGCTGCTGCCCCTGATTTGCCTGCTTGGCTGACCTCATCAGAAGTTATGATGCCAATCACCATACAAACACACCAGCCCCAAATTTCCTGCCATATGGTGGCAGTACACTGTAGGAATGTGCCCCCCCCCCTTCTCACCATAGGATTCTGAAAGAAATACAATAATAAAGACCCCTCCCACTTACACATATACACTGTATAAAGCAGGGGTGCCCAAATGGTAGATCCCCAGGTGTTCTAGAACAACTACCTTGATGACTTGCATTCCTTCAGAATGACAAAGCCTCATGACATCTGGGGAACTACCCTTTGGGTACACCTTGTATAAATGGAACCTCCCAAGCAAGTTCCCTTTATTTTTTTGTTCCATTGCGGGACGGATGAGCAGAACTTAAAGGATTAAGGCTGGTGAGCCACATGGGGTTTATTGGACACCGCAACGTTTTGACCTGTACCCAGGTCTTTATCAAGTCTCCAGTGTCCCCTATGTATCAGAGTGTCTCAGTGCCCCCTAGTCTCTCAGAATCCCCTAGTATCCCAGTGTCCCCATGTGTGTCAGTGTCCCCTAGTATATATATAAAAAAAAAATCTCAGGCACTCCCTGTGGTAGATTTATGCAGGTTTATTGGACACTGCAATGTTTTGACCTGTACCCAGGTCTTTATCGCGTCTCCAGTGACCCCGATGTATCACAGTGTCTCAGTGCCCCATGTCTCCCAGTGTCCCCTCATGTCTCAGTCACCTAGTGTCCCCATGTACCCAAGAGTCTCCCAGTGTTGCCTAGTATCTGTGTCCCCATGTCTCTCAATGTTCCCTAGTGACATGGGGACACTGGGAGACGACACAGACATGTCCCCTTTTTGTCTGTTCGCCCCTTTCGGCAGTTCTGGTTATGTGATTTGTGTCAGTGGCCCACCCTTTTACCCCATCAATAGACTTCCTGCTTTACTGGACACTGCTGTTAGGGGGTATGGGACGGGTTTACTTAAAAGATGATAGCGTGAGATTAGCATAGGGTATGTGTTTTCTCATAGCTGCATCCTATGAATTTCCCTCCAGCAGCATCTCCATCAGATGCATGACGCTTAGGAGGTAGGACTGTTTTAGTGTTGTTGGTCAATAAGATTTTGTAATTAGGCCCATCATAATTGTCAGCACCAAGCCCACTGGGCTCTTAATCTGGCTCTGGCTGCAGCAGATATCAGCACTTCTCACTAGCGGAACTCCAGAGACTTGCCACACTATAAAAGGAGCAGCCATATTAAAGTTTGCTCCACCTCAGGTAGGTCTTGCTTTCTGATTTATATTTACGGGGGAGGAAATTGGGATCAGGAAACAGAGGGAATACTAGTGTGATGTCACAGAATGCCCTCACACCACCTGTTGTATTGTGAAAGCTGTAATCTCCCAGCATGCACTATAGAGCATTAACTTCACAGAGTACTGTAGCACAGGGGAGACATGAGACTCAGAAATGTGTTCTCACAAGTCACCTCTAAAATATCAAAGTTCTATTTGATGTTTAAAATATTTCTTAATTTTGTGCTAAAAAAAATAGGGGCCGTGAAGAATGATTTTTCATGGGGTGCGTGTTTAGCCGGGCAAAGAACAAGACGCACTGCTGTGGAGCTCCTGCAAGCCACACGGCTAA